GGAGATGAAGTAGAGTTCACTTTGTCGTTGCATGATAACTCATTAATACAGACTAGACCCAAGAAAACAGACAAACACAACGTTTTAAACATTGCCATCAGCTTACGTGGTCAGCTGATGGGAAACTTGACATGTATTGTTCAAAACAATGTCAGCAGAGAACAAAGAGTCATCCGCCTTAGAAACTGTACAGGTAGAGTCATGACATTTTATTTTATCTGAATCTTTTAAAAATATATATTTTTTTGGTTTGTGTATTTTGTTGTAGCTATTTGGTATACGTGTGTGCTTTGATTTATTTTACAGAAAAAAAGAAAAATGATCTTGCAACTACATGGATAGCTTGCATTTTTAGTTTATAGAAGTTTACAGTATTATGCACCAAATTCAAGTATGCATCTTGGGCTTGAGGTCGTGTAGCCCTCTAAATGAAAGTGCATTATCTCAGTTCCTTATTAATGTTGTTTTTTTATATCCTCATTCTGTTGTGAATGTGGTTGTGGTGACAAGCATTTCCATTCTACTTCTGGTTTTGGCCCTATTTCTTGGTATGAAATGTTTCAATAAGACAACTAACCCAATCACCGTTAATGAAGGTAAAATATACATGTTCACTTAATGTTCTTGTCTTTATAAACTAGTATAAAAACCTGGACGGTTTTCTTGACATTTCTGAAAACAATAATAATTAATACAAATATTTGGAAAAAACTAGAAATTGGAAAGTGTGCATTTATGTATTGGGAATATGTACCTTATTTTACCATTCTGTATAATGTAAAAAACAACAACAACAACAACAAAACAATATTATTATTCTAAAAACAATGTGTCAACAGTAAAGTGAATAAATAAATAACACCGGACATTTTTTCTGTTTTTTGTAACAAAAGTTTCTTCTTCTCTTGCCATTCCAAACACATAACATCCTTATAGAATATGATGTAACACTATAGATCAACTTACCTCAGAATATATAAAGCATATAAACAATTACAGCAATATGATGCAACAAACACAGCAGTACTACTGATCCAAAAATACTAAAAGCTTCATAGAACTGAAACAAACATTTATTTTTAGGTCCATTCTGCTGCTGAT